CTTTAATTAATGTTGTTGCGAAAATTTAAGTTCAATAAAGGAGAGGTATTTAAATCTAATTGATCGTTAAGCAATACATTTGAATGTCTCATTTTGTTAATCTCCATGGCTTCCAATAAATTAAATTTTCTACTTTTTGTGGCTGTATGTAATATATCTTAATTTTATTATCTTAATATCATTATCTTATTATCAATATCTTAATATCATTAAACAAGTTGTACTGAACAATGGCTACAATCCGTCCATTAGAGATAAAATTATAAATAAAAAACAAATCCAGACAACAGTAAACTCTATTTATCCGAAACCTAATACAGAACAGGAACTATTTAAAACAATTACATACATAGGAGAACCTAGTGAAAAATTTTCAAAACATTTGTCAAAATGTAGTTTAAAAAATGGGTTTCAGAACCAACAACACAATAGGAAAATATTTAAAAAACAATAAAACGAAATGTCCGAAATCCCAAAAATCAAGTGTCTACAGGTTGAAATGCGGATTATGTCCCAAAATTTATATTGGACAACCAGGTAGATCCTTCAAGAAACGCATTAACGAACATAAAAGAGCGTTTAAAAACAATAGCCTAGATTCTAATTATGCTACAAACTTAAACACAGAAAAACACATTTGTGACGACAATTTTGATATATTACATACCTAGTAATTCCAACCGACGACGGCCTTTAAACCCGAATCAAGATAATAGCTCAACTTTAATTAAGGTTTTATGGTTATTTTTGGTATATATAGTAGCAGGTAGTTTGTAAATATTACATTTGATAAAGACACGGTGTTGTCGAAACAATTGTCATGTCAAAGTATATAATTTCGTGAAAATCTGAACTTTCAGTTCTTATTTATTCTTCTATATATTTAATTCAATTCAAAGTCAATTCTCTTCCTCACGTAAAACACATCCTTTCACCAAAAAGTTCTGAGGGTAATTGGTTCACCATTCATGATTGTTAGATATGTAAGAGACAGATTTCGATGATTTTAGTCTTTAATGTCATTGATCGAAAATATCTTGGCAGAATGAACCCCTTAGATATTAGTTTAAGAACTCGTTATTAAAACTCTGTTTGTTGTAAAATTAATACAATCAATATTTAATAATATAGCATACGTATAGGCGATAGGAATCTGCCTACCAAGTTCATCTATAGAAAAATCAAAGTTTTTAACGAACGTCCAATTAAAGATATCTAACGAGTTTGTAATATGATAAAAGTAACGGAACATTAGTCACGAACAAGCGTGTAGGAAGTGGAAAAACGGAGGTGGATATTGCCAAAGGTTACCCGTTCTTGAAGGTGCTTCGGTGTATTATAATTCACCGTTTCTCATCGGATTTTGTACGATAATGTCAGACAATTAAATACGAATTCGTTTTGGCGTGGCATAATTGAATTACCGGTTTATTAGTTCTATATTTAGAGGGCGCTCGCTGCTTGTAAATCTTTAAATGTCAATTTACTTGTAACTAATTCGTATCCATGATGTGTGAAGGCAAGACCAGGAGCAATAATAATAAATCGACATCACTTTATAACAAGCCAAATGATCTTTAATTATAGAGTGCCGATTATGTAAATATTAATTACTCGCGATTAAGTTGTTATTTACATATTATGCTATATTGAAAGTGATATTTTGTCGAGCGAGTAGGCAGAAAGCCTACGACCGTAGAACATGATTTTACGTGCGACTTAGGCATGTCAACTAGACAGAAAAACGTGGAAATAGTAACAGTTAAAGTACATTGACATTGATATTTTACGAAAATTCCTTGTACATAAGTTATATCGCATGTGATTAAACAGTTACGCTATTGTGTTTCTTTTACAACAAGAATATGCCGTATTGTTTCGGAAGCTTGTACATCGCATTTCAAAATGAATAGTTTGTAAACATTTAACTGCATTTGCGTAAGTTATGTGGGTTGGAATTGTTATCAATATTTGTTTGAATTACGACTTCAGTATTAGCTGACAAACGCCAAAATACCCTCCGCGCTCAAAATCTACCGAAAACATCAGATCACTCCTAAACCCGTGAGTAAAGTATCGGAAACGTGCGAAATTGCCATTACCATTGGTAACAAAGCTGACGTCTTAAAGTACCACTTTCTAGAGTGTTGAGCAGTGCATAATTGCGTTTTTCAAATGAGTGACGTGAACATAGCAGCCAGAGCTATGGCAATTCTCACAGAAGACCCCTTTCAGGTTGTGGCGTAAATTTTGCTTTGCTTTGCAACTAAGTCATTACTAAAATAAAAAGATCAATTTAATTAATTTCAAATATGCTGGATCCACGAATAAGGGTCAGGGCGGTGAAATTTTACAAGATTTACATTAATTATTAATCATTCAGCAAGGATAGTCCAGTACAAGCAGGAATATCTGTGCTGAATAAAAAGTCTTTAAAAAAATTGAAGGTTGGCAATGCGTTACAGAAAATCAACCTCGCTTGGAAAGACCAACACGGGAGTAATCATTTTCAACAGAAGAAATGAGAATTGAAGTTAATGGTAGTGGTGCATTTGAAATATTAAATAAATTATTGAAAAAAAATAAGTAACCGTTTAGAATTATTGTGCAATAGTGGTTCGGGCACCTGACAAAAAGTTACAAAAAATACATGAAGATATAATCGAAAAGCAACAGTAGATAAAAGAAATATGATTGTACGGTACATCCCAAATTCATTTTCTCCGATAATATATTGGAATACTTTTTTATGAGAAGTTGAATGGTGCAACCCACATTGGGATATTTCCACAATTTTGGAGGTTACAGGGTGATTTCAAGCTAAATACATTTTTGGAGGTACCATTTATCTCTTTTTATATCTAGCGCCTATAAAAAGATAAAATCGCGTTTTGATTGTTATTTTTTAGTTGTAGCCTCAACATATCTTTTTTTAACCAGAACACAAGAATTTTTTAATGCTGTTAAGTAGTGATAATTTTTCTTTTTTCAATTGTCATTAAAATAATGAATAAATTTTAATTTAAAATAATGAATAAATTTAAAAACAAAATAGGGATTGTGGTGTCCTATACCATCATGAAAGGACATTTTTATATTTCTGTTCTCAATAAATATTTATAAAGCCGTATTAGCCTTAGGAGTCATAACTTGAAAAGTAGGATCAACCCCCTAAACTGCAAAAAAATGAATTCTATATAAAATATTTATAAAAAAACGTATTCTCAAAAATACATTTAGTTTGAAATAACCTTGAAACTTCAAAGTTGTGTAAATATATACATAGTTGTTACTTGTGCTCATTATATTTCCGATAAAAAACTAGTCTAATAAATGTGTATCTTTAATTGTTTTCAAGATAACCCTCCCTTGAGAGTACAGTCTATTTGAAATGCACTTTGCCTAGATCAGTAGCCTAAATTTCTGCAGCGACTTCATTTCTGTACAAATTAAGATTAACTGGTAAGTAATTATTCCTAACTTATCGGTCGAAAGTGTATCCTATACTACGCTGATCTGAATAAAACTAAAAAAGTCGCTTATGAAGCTCTAGGAAATGTTGATTCACGCCGAATAAAGCTTTCCCTATCGGTAAATAAATCATATAGATCTTATACGGGGCAAAAAAGGATACGTGGAAATGTAAATGTTAAGAAGAAAGGAAGCCTGATAGGTAATTACATGCAAGAATGTACGAATATACGGAACTAAAGAGAAAAAAAAATAGGTGAGGGAGAAGAGAGAGAAGTGCCTTAGGTCAGTAAGTAAGGTAAAACATATTGTAAAATATCTAAAAAATGGAAAGTCGCAGGATTGGCAGAAATTTCAAATTAGCTAGCAAGAGCGGCAGATCAAGTCAGTAGTTTCAAAGTGGTTTAAGAATCTAGCCAGGGAAGGTGAACAACATTTTAATCTATTCACGATATCCCGTATTCACTTTTGAAAACGGTGGTCAAATCGTAGTCTACACTAAAAAAACCTTTTATTGCCTGTTAGCAGGGTGAATTATAAAAGTCGGCCGTTCGCATCGTTTGGCTCATCTTTGTGCTCCCAGTGTTAAATTAATCTCGATGCGAACAGAATCCGGCGCGCTGAAAGCACCACGATAATACATTTAACCTTTGCCTAAAGCGTTTTAGCGGACTCCGTCATATAATCACCACGATTTAACATAAAGCTACGAAGTGTATTATTTAATTAAGGGGTTTTACTCAAATGAAGACCGGGGTCAAAAGAGAAAACTTTGGCCAATGTTAATTTTGGCCTCTATTGAAAAATCTCAAGGTCATTGGAAATCCTAGAACTTTGCTGGCCGTTTTAATTTATGACAGCTTAGTTATTGAGTAAGAGTGTTTATAGGGTTCCGTGAGGATAGTGAACACCGTCCCAGATCCCTAAACATAAACATTATATACAGTAAATCAAATGCATCAAATCTTATTTGACCAACTGCAAGCCGGGAACTTATTGGGGTCTAAGATGTCTTATCATCACTTGATCACTTTGTTATCGGACATGTTTGTAAATGGACCGGTCTTAGTACGACGAGACTTTTCAATTGTTTCAATTTCCTTGTAGGTAAGTTTTTCTCGCGCTCAAATGAGCGTGGTGAACAGTTTATTAAAGAAAACAAGTTTAGAGTGCGGGCAAACAATGGAAAATAGACAACACGATATAAAATATTTTTGTTTCGAAGGTAGTTTCAGATTTATATAGGCGTTAAATGCCCGAAAATAAAATACGGCGTATCGCAAAGTTTAATAATAGAGTTGTTTTCAGCATGAAAGTTTAATCTCATACTGGTTTAAAGAGTAGTAAATCTTTTCTCCCTTCGGCATGAAAATTTCTCTTTCTTTCTTGAGGAAAATATTAAGCGTGGGATATGAGTTGTAACACAATTCATGCGCCCCCCACGCCTGGAGACTTATTTTTTTCGCGGAGATAAAAAAGAAAAGAAATTTAAAGTTTTCCCTAATGGTTTTTCTTTCTCGTTGTTTTAGGTGGAATGGCACGGGCCGGTATGGCGCTTAGGAGAGGAGGCAATCAAGGAAATACAGAGTGAGTAAACAAATTCTAAATTTGTTAAGATAAAACGTAAAAAGTATGACCGAAAAAAAAAGCGATTTGAGGTCAAACCTAGTTAAGGGATTTTTGATTTTTTTCTTATTGCGAAGTTTAGCGTAGGTTGTTACATTATTCGTATCCTTGATATTGCTCGCTAAAGCCTATTTTATTATGCAAATTATAAATATTGCAAATTTATTCGGAATATAGTCATGCATTTGGTGTTGTCAAAAGATGCCTTTAAAGATCCTATAAAACGGTGTATGACATTAAAAATTGTTATCGTTTTGCATGAACGGTTGGACATGTTGAAGCCGATTGGAGATATGTCGACCAACCAAAGTGGAAAACAGCCAATCAGATTCCGGCAGCAGCGCGTATGATTGCAACTGACTCTGGCGTGAAATGTTTTCGGTTGATTTTGTAATCTAAGGGGCGCCGTACAATTTGATTTTGTGTCATATGTTTCGCACATGTTTATGAAAAGTAAGAAACATTTTATATCAGGTTGAACAAATATGAATTTAGTAAATGATAAATGGGCCATGAAAATATATTTTTTTCGATAGCTGAAACGCGTCTATAGGCGTAGGTTTAATAAAATACAATATTTAATACTTTTTACAAAACTTCTGGATTCCTCGTGCGTCGGTTTTTGCTGAGTCGAACTTGCTAACGTTTCGCCAATCATCCTGTTGGCTTCATTAGAGCTTGACTGAAACTGGCTCTCATTTTACTGTGTACCTGCTTATATATTGTTTGAAGGGGGCGGAGCTAAATGAGGGACATAAACACCATCTCGGATGACTGATTCCCATATTGGTGACAGGTTGTGGTTAAGCTTATTAGGTTGTTTATAGATTTCTAGAGACTCTCGGATTTTTCGTTGGTAGAAGAACTGATTACATGCAAGAATTTTAGTTTTATCGAAAAAAATTTTATGTCCAGTTTCGTAATTGTGTTTCGCAACTGCTGATTTTTTTTTGCCCGTCTATAGTTAAGTTTGTTGCTAAAATAAAACTGCGTAGCAATTCGAAATTTAACTAATTAATATTAACAGAAAATACTGTTTATGTAAAAAGTACTCTGATGTGTCGTTAACTGGAACCTCGACTGGAACTAACTACAATCGACTTCGAGTGATAACGTAGTTAAATTTACCTGCAAATGGCATCGCTGTGCAGAAACCCCTCAAAAAGATTAATTACTAGTAAATTAATAAGCAGAGGTGAATTGGTCAACAAAAATAGCTGGAAATCATTCTCAAAGCTTGCCACTAGGTCAAGTTAACAATTCAAATGATTTATTTCAAATTTTTTGACCATATGAGCAGAAAGTTAGCAAAGTGATTAAAATTCAATTCACAAGTGAAGTAATTGGTTGCATAATTTCGTGCTGTTTTCAAGTTGAATCAGCATTTTCAGTTTTTAAGTTGGCGTCGTTTATTTTGTCAGTTATTTGGTTTGGCTTGATAAAAACCAATAACAATAGCTTGCTACTTTTTTGTTCTTTATAAAAACAGACACAAAGGCAAATCATCGATCTATTTTATCGAATAATGTATCTTGTACCAGAAAGTGAATTAAGAATTTTAGATTGCTCAAACAAAACATATGATTAAACTATTAGCCAGTGACTTTAAGTCCGTTTGTTTTGTAGCGTTGAACTCAAATATTTTTGGCGTACGTATTTATTTTGGTGTACTATTTGCGTATAGGTCCCGCTGAAAACGAATGAAACCCTCCGAAGCACAAAAGATGTGACTTGGCATTGTGAGGCCTACTAACGAAAAACAAATAACTTAGACGGATAAGAAAGGAACGTAATAAAATGGGTGACGGGGAGCGTTGACATTTGCCGAATTACTTAACGTGCGTTTCTTTTCATTTGCCGTTCGTCATATTTGAAGTCTTTTGGAAAAAGAAATTGCAGTTGTCTGTAGTTGGGGATTCGTATTTACATCAGCCGCTTTGTGCAAGTTTCCTCTTCATCCTTGCATTAGTTTCGTACATCGTGGAGGTGTATACCGAGTGGCTGGCAGTGGATAGCGTACCAAGGGTTTTGAGGACGCATTAATGGATGATTTTATATGAATATGGCAGAAATCTAGTTTAAATTACAGCGCCGTGAAGATACCTGAAAGTTAATATCTTTTTCTTCTTTTTTAAATTCGAATTGCTCTGAGAACTAATTGTCGATGTCACATTAGAAAATGTTATCGAAACACTTGTACATATTTATGTGTTTCTGTTGGTACTAATTGCAAAGGAATCTTTGAAAAAACAACAAACAACTAACTTTGTTGTGAATGGTTCGTTTTAACAATTGAAGCCCTAAAAAAGTTGTGAAGAAAAAAGCTCTGGGTAATGCCATAATTATTTTTACGGCCTTGCGTGCCAATAAGAATAGATAATGGTTCAACTTTAAATCCTGTCTCATGTCATCGAAGATTTAATTAAATTAATAAGAATATATTTGATTATTGCATATTATATCCGAGATAAGGTATTGACTCATAATATAATGTTGACCCTGTACAAATAATAAGCAGTATATTGGAATCCGTAGTCCTTTATCGAATCGATCGTCGTGGATCACCAAATGGGGTATGAGCCTTGTGGCATATTCAGTTTATTCATGTTGGTCAATATTTGCGACTATATCGTAGTATTTGTGTTGGCTTTAAGGTACGCCTATCTTGTATATTCGTATTACCCGGCTTGTTCTAAGACCCTACCTCGTGGGATACGTAAATCATAATGTTAATTAATTAATAACATTTTTTCTTTCACATCAATGTTTTAGTTAATTTTCAGGCGATATATTTAACTTGTTATACATAATTAAAGAGTATCATCGATTTGCAAATTTATACGAATTTTGGCAAAGCTCAAACGTGTTCTGCGCATTGACCCGAAAATATAAATATCATATTCAACAAAAACAAAAAATGCATCCTGATTCTAAAATAAAAGTTACTGGTGTTAGTAATAATAATAATATTAATTTTTACCAGGGAAACTTACTTCGTCTTTAAAGTTAGTTAGTCTTTAGTCTGTAGTTAGTTTTAAAATTGTACTGGGTATTCGTCTGATATTTCCGAAAAGGTAAGAGCTGCAAGGTCGGTTAAGAAGTTTGCCTTTTTGATACTCATTCGACCGCTCTCTTACAGTGTTACCCAATTCTGTTTAGTTTATAAAATATATACTGATTTGTTAAAAACGGTTAGTTTTCCAAAATTTTAAGGCAAGGCACTTGGCAATATATAAACGAGTTTTGACAGGATTTCAAAGACAGGTGGTATTTCCGAAAATATCCCGGAAAAACTGAAACTTATAGAAAAATTATAAAAATATCTATTGAATTGATTTTGAAATGCACCATATACTTAATTCAGGGTAGAGCAATACTGTTGTTTATTTCTCACTTCTGAAAGAACGTTTTAGTAGAATAAAATCAAAAGATAAACAGTAAAACATATTTCGAATATACAGGGTGTTTTATAAAGGTGTGACAATACAAAAATAGTTTTTTTTTAAGAAACACCATATACATTTTGCCGATATTGCTGTTCCTGCAGGCAATGTTTAGATAACACGGTGAAGAAATACACCAATTTGTTGTTTAATAGTAACAAAAACATATTTTAAGAAAACAGCTTATTATTATTTATTTTATAAACAAATAAAGTAAAATTAAAAAAAACATTTTTTTGCCTTCTTTATGTATAAGGTTTTTTTTGGATTTGAACTTTTATTGTAATTCTTAAAAGGGCACTGGTGTGGGTTTTAGCTGTTTGTGTCCCAGAGAGCAAAGAAGTAAATAATCTATTTTCGCCTAGATAGCGATAGCTTTCCAAATGATTAATAAAAGCTATTGTACAAAAATTAAATCTTTTCTTCCCAAAAAAAATTACGGTGTAATAATAATCGTAATCATAATTTGCGAAATATATGTTTTTGAAACACCCTATATAATTAAGCATATTTTAAGAATGTTTGATTTCGATTACATGAGATATTTATTAAAACTTTTTTTGTGTTAAATAAGGTAGATATTACAATTATCTGCGCTATTGCGCCACCCTGTATATTTTATATATATTTACGTTCTGGAATTTGCTAAGCCCCTTCCAAATACCTCACATTATTTTCCAGACGCCGTTTTAATTTACTTGTTAAAATAAGGCAATAGTATACCGGCCTGAATTGATTTTGTTCTCGGTGGGAGGTATAAGTAATTGCGTCGCGACGCAATATTTTAACGGGGCGCGATTGCAAAAATTAAATATCGTCTCGTCAGAATTATCATAACACGATTTTCGCGCCAGCAGCGTTTCCCCGGACAACGTTTCCCGTAAGCGGAAATAATATTCGAGCGAAATTGCCAACATAAAAATGTTCGCGTTGCCATATTAGGGCATTCTATTTTCGAACGGGCCGCATTCGTTTCGGTTCTTTTCGGATTTTGCGAATATTTACGATTGAGTTAACGGCAAATAACGCGCGTATTATGTGAAACCTGTATGCCAAAAAGGTAGAAACGTAAAATGACACCTGTCGAATGCTTCCGTTGGGGTAACAATTAACCAAATTTTTTTTTCGTTTTTTCTTCTAATAATTATAAATTCTTGTTATTTATATTTTGCGTAATACCAGGGTTAAAATGGCCGGCTTAAAAATTCTAAAAAAAAAGGCTATTCCATATTGTTATGACTGAATCATAATTAATTTATTGAAAGCGTTATTTTTTGGATAATTCTATGGATTTAGCCTAAGCCAGAGCTTTCGAAAATCTTATAAATACCAATAACAAACTTTTTAATCTATTGAAAAATTGTTACTAATCAGAAACGTTTTTTTATTAAATGTTTATTAATATATAACATTATAAATAGGGGGGCACAACGGACCTCTCATAAATAAAATAAATCGACTTTATGGTCAAAAAATAATTAAAGGCTTAAGTGGGCCGCTTTCCCCACCCCCCACCCC